CCCTGAGACTGTAAAATTTAATTATGGGTTAAAATAAATAAATATTTAGTTTCATTAAGAGGTAAAGTGAGAACTGAACTCATGTTATTTTTAAAATGTATTTTCTAGCTCTGTCCACTGAAAAATCCTAGAAGCTCCCACAGATTACACAGATCATGCCAAAAGGACTCAAGAACCAACTTAAAGATGCGGAAACTGTATAACAAAGGTATGCATTGAGCGCCAGTTAGGATAGTAACTAATATCTGTAAAATTTGTTTAAATTCATAAGTTCATAACAATTTTGAAAATAAAAATCTTCCTCAGTAAATATGGAGAATAATAGGGAATCAATTCATCATTTTTTGAAAATTCTTAAAGGGTCCAAGGTAAACAGAGACTCAGCTGAAATCCAAAGCAGGTAGTGTGCTCGGGGCAGTAGGTTATTTTATTTACTATTTTTTATACTCCAGAAATATTTACCTTTCCGTAGGATGTGAATTATTTCCTTCAGTTAAAAAAAATGCTAATATACCACAAATTAAAACAAAACTAATTTTTTTTTCCTCTTAAAATCTATGTCCTTCTGCCATGAGTGTTTTGGATTGAGAAATAATTGTCAGAAAATAGCAGGGCTTTACTACAAATTTCCCTAAAATTGAGAGTGGGACAGGAAGCTGTACACAGAACAACTGTTCTTTAGTATGACAGTGGGCTATGGAGCTCTTTTGACTTGGAGAAAACAAGTAGATTCATTATGGGACATTTATTCAAAGGGGATGGGTCCAAGGGAATACCATATGCAATATGGGGAACATTACAAAAGACTCAGAGAAAATCAAATCGTGATGGAATATGCTGATGTTTTTAGTAAATGATGACTCAGTTAGCTATAAAACATTTGAACTAAGATATCCATTTACACATTAGACATGTTCATTAGATTAAATGGCAAAATAGGATCCTAATGCTGTATCAAACAGCGCAGTATCTGAAACATAGTAGGCACAAAGTCTTTGAGATATTTTGTGATTTGAAGCCAACTTTGAAGTTGGAATTTTCCATGTATCTGGGCAAAATAATTTTGCTCTTCCCAAATTACACCATACAGATTTTTAAAAGTCACACTTGCTGTGCTAAAGGAATAGAGAGGTGGAGAGTATTAAGAATGACAACCATTAAAAGTGCACATGTCAGACAGAGAAAAACAAGTACTATATGATATCGCTTATATAGGGAATATAAAAAATATAACAAACTAGTGAATATAACAAAAAAGAAGCAGACTCACAAATATAGAAAACAAACTAGTCATTACCGAGGAAGGGGGAGGGGCAATATAGGGGTGGGAGAGTGGGGGCCACAATCTATTGGGTGTAACACAGGATCAAGGACATATTGTACAATACAGGGAATGTAGCCAATATTTTGTAATAACCGTAAATAAAAAGTAACTTTAAAATGGTACAAAAAATTTTCTAAAAATTCTTTTTTAGTCTAGAAGAAAGAAAAGTGTCTATGAATGGGGAGACCCTGTTCGTTACCTGTGTTTCCTCATCAGGACTTTTATTTTCCCATTGGAATATGCCTTATGTAATCCATCAATCAGGAGAATCAATGGTGTGACGAGCAATTCCGGCCATACGGAGATAATCAAGCCCTCATAAATCCTGCTAGAATAAATAAAGCCTGAAAAATGGGTTTGTTAGCCCAGCAATCAAATTTCAAAACTGCCTGCCTGCAGGAGACGACGTGTCGCTGATGAGCAGAAGAGAAAAGAGAAAATGTTGGCTAGGGAAGGTGTACCAACTCTTAGAAGGGGAGCGGATGTTCAGGGTCTTTCTGAGACACCTTCAAAAGAAGGGTCTGTGTAAACACCCAGCCTCACCGTTCAATGCCTTAGCTATGCCTCTAGCTGAAATGCCAGGACTAAGGATCCTGTTGCCATTAGTAGGGTGTTCTTAGCTCTTCTGGGCCGTACATTGGGCACTTATCTTTCATCTGTCCTACTACCGTTCTTACTTGTTGCACCCTCATGAAAGAGACTGCAGTCTCAGATATAGAACTTCCCAACCTCTCATATCTAAGATGGGGACTTGCAACCAAAGGCTGGACAATGGAACTTGAGGGAATTACCTTTCCTTATTAAAAATAGTCGCTCTTTGCCTATCTATCCTTGGACATTGCTGTGGAAGAACGTATTGTCTGAGGCAGCTGCAACCAATAGAGCAGACAAGCAGCACACTGAAGCTGGAGGAGGGAAAGAGTCGGGGGAGACTGGAATTTGATTTCCTTCTTGATCTGTTAAATGGCCCTTAGAGGCACCCAACTTTAGCTCTCTTGTGATGTAGTCAGTAAGGTTTCTTGTCGTTTAAGGCAATTCACTTGGGGATATTGTTAACATTTGGATTCTGATTCAGGAAGGCCGGGGTGGTGCCTGAGAGTCTGTATTTCTAACAGACACTCAGGTGATGTCCAAGCTGCTTCTATATCGAGTCACCAGTATTTAGGCAACTTTTAAGCTTGTATTCAGTTACTTGAAGCCACGTGCATACTAAATGGCAACACTGAATAGAGAGGGACTTGAATCCAATCTAAAGCTATGCATGACAAAACTTAGGGATTCACCGCTAAAAAATGCATAGGCAGGATTATGGATTGTGAGAGCTTTGAGGTCATCATGGTCTGTATTTAAATCCTGGTTCTGTCATTTACACACTGTGTGACCCTATCGGAAAATTATGTAACCTCTGTGAATCTTGGTTTCTTCAGAGAACAGTGCCATCTGTCTCACATGGTTGGTTTGAAGATTGGTTGAGATTATGTAATGAAAAGCCTAGGTCTTGAACAGATGTGAGTTTTCTATGATGTTATTGGTGGTATGGAATTCTGTATTGTCAAGCTTCACTCATGCCAAAGATTGCTTAGTTAAATTGGTGCTAAGTCTGGTAGAAATACACAGATTGTGGCAGTCAGCACAGAGACTTTCCTTGTAACCAAGCTGCTGTATCAAAATCCCGTGACTCCTGTATCAGGCTATGATAAACTTAATTGGAATTTTTAAAAATATAAAAAGTAATCAAAACTGTACTTTTATATGACTTGTTTCTGCTTTAAAAACCTGTCTGCACTGTCTTTGATGAAAGAGAAAATTTTTAAATTCACAAACTCTCCCCCAGGATTGCTGGAATATTGTCAAATGAAATGAAAATATTGTTAGCAGAGCTGATCAGTGGTAAGCAAAATCTATTGCCTGTAGTGATAGGAGGGTGGAAGATAATGCATTTTTCTTCAGTCAGATTGAAAATAGGATGGTGGACACCAGCTATGACTCTAACTGTTGCAAAGTGCTTTCTGGATTTGCAGTGTTTGATGACCAGATGAGGTCTTCATGTTTTCATGTTTATAAGCCTGGGTGCTTTGATCAACATAATGCTTTGGATACCTCCTGGAGTGATTTTGGAATGTTCTAGGCGTGATGCCAGAGCAAGGGAATTTAGTTACAACTTCTGAGGCATATAGTTATGATCTTCTGAGCAAGGGTTTCCATGGATAGGAATAACCTTACATATCTCCAACAGAAAAAGAAAACATGTTTTAATATTACATACATCCTCTTGACATTAGGGAATCCCTGTGACTTCAAACATGGTAACAGTTGTGCACTGGACTATCATTTACCTTTTAGTATTTTTGCTATCAAATTATTCTCAAAAATATCTGTAACTATATGTTTAAAAATTCAGAATCCATTCTCAGTTGAGGTGAATGTGGGTTAAAACGTTCCTTATTTCAGGAGTACTGTAGAGCGGAATGGGTTCCTAAGTTGGCTGGAGCTGGGTTTTGGGCTATTTACTCATTAATTATGTAAATCTGCCAAGTTACATACTTATCTGAGACTCAATTTCTTTATCTGTAAAATGGGAATCATAACAGCTATTTCAGGGGATGTTGAAAAGATTCAATTTGATAATCAATATAAAGCACTTACTACATGCTTGGCACTTAGTAAAGATCCAATAACTTTTTGGTAGAAACAGCTTCAAACCTGAAAGGAAACCACCTCTTTATTCTCATTTTATTTCTTCATCCTATAATACTCACAATGATAAGCTCTTGTGGGAAGAAAGGGTTTTTCCTCAGAAAGTAAAACCTGAGATGACAGTTGGTACACGGGTAACTTATTTTGGGAAGTGATTCTAGGAAATAGGACTGAGAAGCCTGAAACGGGGAAGAGAGGCACAGAAGGACACGCAGATGTGACAGCTGAGTTTCATGGGGCCTTCTAAGAACCATGTATAATAGAACGTCTGAGGGGAGAAAAAGGGGAACATATAGTCACTTGCTCCTGTTTTCCATTAATTGGGTTGCAATGGGGGCATTAACATTGTCATATGGGTCTGCAGTATGTAAGTGGTGAGACTGTTGGTTCTAGTAGAGACACAACATTAGCAGCAGAGAATTCCCAGAAGAGAAAGTGAGAGAGAGCCCAGCTGAGGTGTCACAGTTTATTTACACAATGCTGGTTGCTGTAGGATGTGCAGGTGATCAAACCATGTGAGGAAGGACACAAATGGTATTTCACACATGATTCTTGACAGCAGCCATGTGTCCTCAGTGACCCTTGAGATTTGGAGGTAATTCAGTCCCAGGTACCTCTGTTTCAAAACACACCCTTTGAGGACAATGGCTTAAGCAATCCTCTTTATAGTAAAGACCAAAGTTTCTCACCTTGTTCTAGTAGGTCTACAACTGGTATCTACAAGACCCTCAATAGTGATTTCTATGCTAAATATCCAATCAAAAAGGACACATTGGGCTTCCCTGGTGGCGCAGTGGTTGCGGGTCCGCCTGCCGATGCAGAGGACACGGGTTCGTGCCCCGGTCCGGGAAGATCCCACATGCCGCGGAGCGGCTGGGCCCGTGAACCATGGCCGCTGAGCCTGCGCGTCCGGAGCCTGTGCTCCGCAACGGGAGAGGGCACAGCAGTGAGAGGCCCGCGTACTGCAAAAAAAAAAAACAAAAGACACATTTTCCAGGTGAGCTGAGATTCATGTTTTGAAGTGAGTCCTCCGCCCTAAGTTCTGTCAGGAAACTCTAACAATACACAGTCTCCTTAGCCCCAAGTGTTGACTTAGAGACCTCAGTGGAGGCAATTAAAGTGAAAAACTGCTTTCCCCTTTTAAAATAGTTTCAAAATATTATGTGGTTATCTCTGTGGATGATTTAATACTGCTTACCTTTTTTTATTATGGAATTTTTAGTTTATGTTGAGTCTTTTTTTTTTTTTTAAACTTTAAGGGGGAAATAACACTTGGAAAACTTCCTCCTGGAAATAACACTTGTAAAGTTCTAGGAAACTCTTGGAATGTATAAACACATATGAAATTGTGAGGTTATGACCAAAGGCAAATGTATTAAGGACAAAATCCAGCTACATGATTCCTTTAATAATTGGTGTGTGTGTGTTTTGGTGAGCATCCCCCTTATCCAAAATAGCCCGATTATTAAAACTCAGATAATCACAGAGATAAAAATTTTCCACCTTCCTACTAATCAGTAGTTTTCATTTAATATCTATTTAGCCTTAAAGGTGAAAGTGGGTTCCAGACAAATGTCTTTCACATTAGAAGCTGTATTAAATTAATTGAAAAATAAACATTGATAATAGTAATAAAACAAGAGAAATGATGAACAGTAAAAGGTAAATACTTTTTAAATGTTACTCAATCAATAAAACCACATCTTTCAGTGAACATAATAATTATTTGCATCATAAAAAACTCTAGTTGTTGAAATTTAAAATATTGATTAAAAAGCTTCAATTGGACTTCAGCCTAAAAAGAAATTTCCATCTTAATAAAATAGGCAAAACTTTCCTTTTAAACATGACACTTATTTTTTTTTTTAAAGTGTTTACTATCCTTGAAAAAGACTTGAAATGGGTCTTTCAGAAAAGAGCTTTTCCCATTTTAAATTGAATCCAACAGAGCAGTGAAGATGCAATTCCAAAGAACCCGGAAGAAAAGCAGAATACCCAAAAAACGATTTATGTGTTTCTAAAAACCCTGACTTGGGGTTGATGCTTTCACAAAACAAGAGGGTTACTGAGCAATTCCATGACATTTTAAAGTTTCCTCCTGGTGTTGTGATGTTATGATAATCCAGCCTGTCCTAAGGAATTTTTAAAACCACAAAAACACAGTCCACTGCCTAGCTTTAACTGAACTTCTGAGCTTGACTTTTGGACATCTCTTCTGGAAGATACCTCAAGTGAAGTGAGAAGATACTCTTTGACTTTAGTCACCAAAGTTAATATTCTCATGACCTAAATTGACTTCATACAGTCAAGTTTATTTTACACTCTCAGTTACTCACTACTGCAAGTCAACACAGCACAGAAATTAAGGCATTTTTTGCCTTAAAGAGTACACACTGCTGTTCATGAGCTTTTTGGCCAATGAATAAAAAGTATTTCATTTCTAAATCTCACCAGAAGGATTTAAATTAAATAGTAACAGATGAATTGGACAGGCACGGAATACTAAATAGGAACTAGCAAATGAAATAATCCAGCTCTTTGCTTTTACCATGAAAATGAGAATTGATTCTTCATTGAGAGAAGTAAAAGGACTCAGTGTTTTAAAAAAGCTTTCTCCACCAAAAGAGCAAAATAGCACTCAGTGGCATTGCAGTGTTAACAAAATTTCTTTATCAGAAACTATAATTTAATATTTAAGTACCTAATTTACATGTGACAAGGTATCATTTTCAAAAAATTAAATTGCAACTAGAAAACTATTAACCACTAAAAACAATACCAAACAAACACAACCCAAACATTTATAGGAAAACAATAGCTAGAATTTGAATTGGAAAAAAAAGTTTCATCATATTTGGCTCATTAAACAAAGCATCCATTACAGACTGTAAAAGAGTGTTCCTTCTAATTCATCAAAAGTTTCTCCTTTGTAGCATGAATACATGTAAAGATAGATTTATTGACTTCATACGCACACGTGTGTATACATATTGTGAGACATACCTCATGTGTTGATTTAAAGATATCGTATCTACTGATAACTGGTTGAACTTTGGAAGGTGCTGAAACCCACATTTCTACATGACCTGTGACCCATTTAAAAATGTCTTTTTATAAACAGAAATTACATAAAATACTCTGGTTTTTATTAACTGAATCTTAAGCATAATAATAGACAATGAAGGAATTGCACTTATTTTAAAGGTACAGTAAAGTGTTAGATTGCAGCTCAGACATCAAAGATCAGGGACTGTAGTACTGATAAGTTGTGCATTATATGCAAAGATGACGGTGGCCACTGAAATTAAAATGAGAGCAACTAATTACAGAACCAATAGGGGGATAACAGAAGAAAACATGCACTACTCCTACGTTAATGCAAAACTAATTTCTCCCAGGAAACCAACCCTTTGACCTTTCTTACACAAAGAAACAGGTTCTGCACCCTTGGTAACACAGTAGACATGGACTTCTGTATTCAAATTCTAGTTCATTGTCTCTGAGTGTGCTGTTCCAGCATCATCTCCTTAAGCTGCCCTTGAAATTCTGGAGCATCTACAATATTACAGTCTCTTGGTTAGGTTTCATTGAGCCTCAATATCCCCTTCAGTTCTATATAAATAGGGTCCTTTATTCATCTTCTTCTGGTTCCTGTGGTAATATGGGTATTTCTTCCTTTAAACAATCACTGAAGAATCTGAGGATTGTGCTGTAGAGATGATATTTGCTCTTCTCAGATACGTCATGGCCTTCATCTGGGTAGACCTAAGATATTGAAGGCAAAGGAGATTTAAAGTTATCAAAGCAAGTCTTCTTCCTCAGAACTCATTACTTTAGCCCCATGGCAACGGAACTTGGGAAAATAATATCTGACCAAAATCTCATGTGATTCAACTCTGAGTTGTTCGTGTTAAACTTTCCTTTTTTATTATAATCATATCAAAATAAACATTTGAGACAAAATACAATTTTATGCATTTATATTGGGATTTGTTGGCCAAAAAGTTAGAGCTTTCTACGTTCACATTGAACAAGGTGGCATTGACATCACCTTAACTAAATTTTAGATAGCCTTGTAAGTTCTTTCTCTGCCCCTTTGAAATGTATGTAAATCTTCTTTCAGACTCTTGCCAGTTTTACAACCCAGGAAATTTCTTTCTCAAGGACTTGGAAACCATCTCTTTGAAATGTAAACACTGAAGGAGAGACAGCACCCCCCTATCTCCCAGTCTCCAAGTTGTAAAACTACTTCCTGTCATAAAGATAAAAGAAATGTTTCTTAAGGCTGATTACCAAACATAGAAGGCAATGAGTCCCTCCATTGGGGCTCTTAAAAATGCCCCAGCCCCTTGTTTTAACAAAGTTGAGTTTACTCTTTCTCCCCTATTGCAGTAGTCTTGGATAAAGTTTTCCTTGTCTGTTTAATCTTGTGTAATGCAATTTTTACTTTGACAATGTCCTTCCAATATAAACGACATTAGTGAGTTTTCTAAAATATAAATGAAAATACTGTCATGTCAATTCCTGAGTGTAAAGTTTTTAGATGGTGCCTCATTTCCCTCTGAGTAAAGCCTCACAATCCTTTACACTGTCAGTGCCATGACTCTCCATCTGCTTATCTCTACATCTTCATCTTTCATCATTCTAACCCTGGTTCCTGTGTTTTAAGTATAATGAACGACTTTTAGTTCTTCCAAATGCTGAGGAATTAAAACAATTTTTTCCCTTCCATGACTCCTGCTTCAGATTGAAAGTTCCTTGATGTGTAAAGTTATGTCCTGTTGACCCATTTAGCATAGAGACCCCTGTAAAGTAAATCCTTGATATTTACTAAATATGGTTGAATGCAGAGATGTAAATGACGTAAGGATGTTTTGCCCTCTCCTTTTTCTCTCATGTTATTTACTCAAAACTATTTTCCCCCACTTTTTATGATGAGTGATGGAAACGGACAAAAAGACAAAGGAACTAGAAGGAAAATAAAAATTATTATTTTAAAATAATTCATTATCAGTGATATGAATAAAAAAGTTAGAGAAGAAAAAAACATTTTTGAAAGAGTTTATGCAATTCACATATAAAACATAAGGTGATCCACATTCTCATTGTAATTAGGAAATAAGAACACAATTTGGTAGTTGAAAAAAACAGTAAAAATGAAAGGGTGGGAGATGGAGTCATATAGAAGCTGTGTTCTGTATTTTACAACTAAAAAACCAAGGTAGAAAAACATATTTTTCTGAAAAAGTAGCTTACCTGCATAGTATAATTCACTCCAGCTTTTATTAGGTGTTTGATTAATTCTGCTGAATGCTGGAAATGAACTTTTGCTGCAAGAAATTAAATTATGATATTTGAAGGAAATACACTTTTCAGGATCAGAACATTTTATAACATTTTTTCAAAGAGATTACATATTTATCTTCCAAAATTATCAGCAAATCGGATAACTCAACCAATTAGACTTTTAATGCTCCCGTTTAGTTTTGGGAAGGGGACAAATGGCAAATGTCAACAGGCTTTGCACTAGAAACTAAACAGAAAAAAAAAAAAAACCTGGAGAATCCATTTATGGATTTTTACTTTACATTTAAAAGACTGAACATTTAAAAGACTGATACCTAGATTTACCTGGAAAGCCAGTAGATACAATGGCAATAAAACTTTGAGCTTCACATTGTAAAAAAATAAAACAGCAGTTACTACTAAGCCTCTACTTTACAGAATGGTGATTAGATTTATTATATTGCATATCATTTATTATTTGTAATTATTCACGTATTTTATACCATTATAACAATTTTAACACAGTGAACGCCTGTCTGGATAGTAATAGCAAACCAGCCTTCTATTCCTTTCTGAGGATTACTAGGGCCACTCTCAGACACTGGCATTCTGCCTTATGTTAAATTAGAAAAGAATACCTCATGTTGAGAAAATAGCATACACATATCATTACTCAAGGGCTAAATATTTAATGTGGACCATACTGGTTTCTCCTCTTTCCTTCTAGCTTCCTTATCCCTGAACCTCAGTTCCCAAACTCTGAAATAAGCAGCACAGCAGCCTGGGTGTGGGTAGCAGCATTGTCCCTAACAGCTATGAAGACTTGGACAAATCACTTACAATTTTTTTTGTGTAGCACTTAGCTCATATGCTGCCTTGGCAATACATTCCTATACTGTGTATCTTCAAATTTCCGTAAATAACTTTTAAGCTCACGTTTTTTGACTGTCTTTGTAAAATTAGGGCAGCCTTATCAATAGTTTAAGCTTCTTCATTGTTCTAATGCTATGGTACTGATTAATCCTGCTACAGAGCAGACAATAAAAGACTCCACATAATTGTTTATATCTTTTAAAAGTCTACCTATAATCTTTTCTAACATTCTCTTATTGTACTTAATGGGAAAATTACCATGCCATTTCTAAATAACTGTGCAAATTGCTCTATAAATGTAAGCTACTAGAAATGTTAATAAATAGGGCAATGACTGAGATAAAATGATCCTTTATATACTTCATTTGTTTATTGCAGAAAACAAATTGAAAAGGACTCCATCATTCAGCTGCATGGATACAGCTGAAAAGATAAATGCATAAATGGATTTTTCAGTTTTTTTTTTTTTTCTGTTTAGTTTCTAGTGCAAAGCCTGTTGACATTTGCCATTTGTCCCCTTCCTAAAACTAAATGGGGGCATTAAAAGTCTAATTGGTTGAGTTATCCGATTTGCTGATAATTTTGGAAGATAATAATAATGGTGGTATTATAGTATTATTGACTGAGTACCTATAACCTACCAGTCCCATGTGGAATGTGTGTGTGGTGTATGTGAGTACATTTGTGTGTGTGGTGTGTGTGAGTACATTTGTGTGTGTGTGTATGTGTGTGTGCAAACACACAGGTGTATTTTCTTTGAAGACAAGTGCTGAAGGTCTGCTTACATTTTATCAGGTAGGTGAAGTCCCAGGCCCATGACTGGATGAGTCAGGGAACAACAAAATTTACCTTAATAATTACAACATATTAACAGAAACAACTGAATAACATTAATATATTAAAGTGTGATGGCTAGATGTAAAATAATTTAATCTTGAAAATAATTTATTCCCATAATTGAAGCTTTAAGGCCAAATGAATAAGAGCCTCAATGCCTATTTCAAACCACCTTTCTGTTAATAGCTGTGTGATTTTCGGCAAGTTATATAAATTCCATAATATTTATTTTCCCAATTTGTCAAATAACAAGAGAAGTAATACCTACTGCACAGTATTTTCGTGAAAAACAGATACTATGATATTAAAAGCTTTTAGCACATTTCCTAACATACAGTCACTACTTAATAATCACTATTTGTTATTACTAACAATGTATATGTAAGTTCTTAATACCTTAGAACAGAATTCTAATGTCCTTCAAAATGTTTATGTTCTCTTACATCATGTTTCATCTACAACAGGTATGGTATCATCTAAGTCTTTTTTAAAAAAATTATAATAGTTTTAGATTTTCAGAAAAGTTGCAAAGATAGTACAGAGAGTTCCTGTATATCCCTTACCCAGTTTTCCCTACCTGTTAACATTTTACATTATTATGGCACATTTAGAAACATTTAGATGTAGTGTTTCCTTAACCCCTTCTGGTCTATGATGATTTCTCAAACTTTCTTTGCTTTTGATGACTTTGGCAGTTCTGAGGAGTACTGGTCAGGAATTTGGTAAGATGTTCCTCATTTGGGTTTGTCTGGGGTTATGAGTATTTGGGACAAGACCATATAGAGATAGAATGCCGTTCTCATTGAAGCCACATCAAGGTTACATACTATCTACATGACTTGTCACTGTTAATGCTGACCTTGATCACCTGGCTGAGGTGAAATTTGTCAAGTTTCTCTGCCATGAAAGTTACTCTTCCCCCCCCATTCCATACTGTACTCTTTTGAAGCAAATCACTAAGTGCAACACACTGTGAAGGGGGAAGGGAGGAGAATTAAGCTTTGCCTCCTTGAGTTGGGGCATCTACATAAATGGTTTGGAAATCTACCTAAGGGAGATTTGTCTCTTCTCCCTCATTTACCTATTTATTCAAATATATACTATATGTATGTGTGTGTATATATATATGTATGGTATATATCAATATAGATCTAAACTATAATTTAACTGTGACCTGACATGACTCTAAGTTAAGTTTGAGTGACAGCTGGTATTACCTTTGATATAAGGCCTGGCCTTTTTAGTGGTATTCTACGTAAAATGGGATAAAAATACTGAGGCAGGGCAGAGAGGACTGACAAAAACAAGTTTAAGATTTAGGAAATATTGCTTCAAGGCTTTGCTTCTCTTTGCTCACTTGCCAGGTGGCCTTGGATAAATCAGTTTCCTCCTTGAAATTGATTTTTCTCATCTGTGAGTGGGGCTATAAATAGCCCTCTGTTGTAAGATTTCACATAAAATCATAAAAAAAATTCTTTGAGTACCAAACACTTCATGTGAATATAAAGCATGATTTATTACTAGCATTATCAATCACATTCATCTCCAAAGTTTAAAATAATAAAAAATGAGAGGTGATATGAAAGTGCTTTTTGGGTTTTTGTTTCGAGTGGTAAACCTCATCAGAATATCATCTCAGTGCTGGTACCTGTTTGCTATGCTGCTGTTTTCCAGGTTAGTTTCCATTTGAGGTACGCTGAAGAACACTGTCCTAGTAGTGACTAACCACATGTGGTTGTTTAAATTTAAATTAATTACAATTAAATAAAATTTAAAACTTCAGTTCCTCAGTCATACTAAACATGTCAAGTGCTTGAGAGCCACATGTGGCCAGTGGCTGCTGTGCTCAACAGCACAGAGATGACATTTCCATCATCCCAGAGAGGTTTACTGGGCAGTGCAGGTATCAGATTCTTTGTGCCCAACTCCTCTGCTCTCCTCCCCAGAAGGGTTACAGGGCCTCCTGTAAGCAAGTCCTCGGATGTACCCCTTTGTTCAAGGTCAGACCACATCAGTCAGTAGCAGCAAGTATAATACTTACTGTCAGCAGTCCCATGAATTATTAATATATTTTCTTCTTTTAAGCCATGAATATTATGTAGCACACTGGAAGCCTATAAAAACAAAAACACAGAAATCTGTATATAAAGATTTACCTATATTTGCATTTTGACTGGGTTTTTAGAACAAAAATACTCTCCTTTCTTCATTGGTTTTAAATTAGTTACCTGGTATGTGCTTTCTTCTTTAGATGGCATACCAAGATATCTTTCAGAGAAAGCTGAGGCTGTGACCCAAGAAAACAGAAATTTGAGGGTAAACTAAAAATCATTTGACTAGCATATTTCATTTAGTTTCTACATTTCACATTTAATTGTCATGCTCCACTAAAATTGATTGAATCAGAGAGGCAATAAAGAGCTGAAAACATCTCTGATAACACATGATAAATGAACTCAAATGAGCTTCTCTACATGGGGACTTTCTTGTCCATGAATCAATACATTATATTAGGTCAGTCTGTAGGAAGTACTCACCATACAACTTCAAGTCTATAATGGGTGCAATCACTGATCCACATTTAAAAAGGTTTTCATCTGATTTTAATATCATTGATGCAATATAGCCACCATACCCCTGACAAAAAAAAAAAAAGGTTTTCATATATATATATATATATATATATATATATATATATTCCTAGAGATTTTTTTTAGCTTTTGGTCACTGTTTGGTAATATACATATCAGAATGTCTCATAATGTCCCAGACTGGAGCAAAGAATATACTAACATCACTATGTACAGATGAAAATTTTGAAAAGAGTTATTTAAATTTTTATATAATAAGCTATTTTAATAACTTTAGGTAAAATATAAAATTAATTATATATAATCAAGTGTCAAATATTGGCTCTTTGATTTGATATCTGGGAATAGCTCCAAACAATTTGAAATTAGGAAAATACAGAACTGATTAAATCATGTCATTTTAGGTACTATATATTTAATAAAACAGTATATTCATTTAATAAAACATTTGATAATAATGATGATTATTAATAATTAAGAAAGAGGAATTAAATATTTAAAATATATCTTCACAAGTATAGATTCTGCTTTCAATTCCACACAACTAAAAACTTGAAAGAAATGGTGTAAGATAAATACTTTTGCTAGCTAGATGAGTTGGATTATTTTTAAACTTAGTTTTTAAATATCCTCTTGAAATGCTTTTGAACAAACTTCATTATAACTTCTTAAAAAAAAAAATCAAGGTGTCAGTTTTCTTTTGTAGACCACAATCTGACTAGAAAATTTCCAAAGGAGATTTTAATAACTACAGTAATGCTAGGCTAAGGGAATGACCTACTGAGTTGTCTGTTCATTTTAGACATTAATTCTTGCTGTGTTCTTGGAGTTGATTTTCATTTTGCCAGACAATGGAGTATCCTGGTAGGTATTAATACCTAGGCCTTAGCACAGAAATTCTGATGCAATTGGCTCTACTTTTGAAAGATTTCCAGATGATTCTAGTGTTGTTCAATGCTCTAGGAACCTGTTGTTTTCTCTAAACTCTTGAGATGAGTAGTAAAGAATTTCATTTATGCTTATTTGGAGCATTGTTTAAAAATTGGTACTAGAGGGCTTCCCTGGTGGGGCCGTGGTTGAGAGTCCGCCTGCCGATGCAGGGGACGCGGGTTCGTGCCCCGGTCCGGGAAGATCCCACATGCCGCGGAGCGGCTGGGCGCATGAGCCATGGCCGCTGAGCCTGTGCATCCGGAGCCTGTGCTCCGCAACGGGACAGGCCACAACAGTGAGAGGCCCGCGTACCACACACACACAAAAATAATTGGTACTAGAAAGTCCAAAATGAAATCAGACATTACTTAAGTGGTTGACAGAACATATGTGAAGGGTAGCAGAATACATCACCCCAAAGTATGCCACTTGGCATATTGATTATTTTGAGATATAGGCACTGGAAAAAACAGCAAATGCTGAGAGAAGCTTTCTCTGAACTCCCCTTATCTTCCTAAAGGCAGATCCTCCAAAAAGAAATCAATTGTTCTAGATCCCCTCCCTGGAAGTTTCATCAACCAGGGAAGATTGCCTCTTGCCACAGGAAAGGAGACTAGAAGTTGACACCACAGCCAGAGAGACTATATCACAAACTATACCTCCCATCTATTCTTCTAAAGCCCCATTTGTCTTTCCTAACAATAATTTACTCTCTCTTAAAATGTCTATATCCCCTCTTCCCTTTCCCTGTTGAAAGCGTGCAGAACTCTGTGGGGCTCCTGGGCACAGAAGCTTTTCTGCTCCCCATTTCTTGTTTGTGGGAAACTGACTCCGCCTCTATGAACTTCCCTGAGTCCCAAAGGGCAGATTCGAACAGTTGCTAATCAGGGAAGGGAGGGGATGCAGAGACAAGGGAGGAGCAAGCAAGAAACAGTACTGCAGCCTTGAGGCAGGGTCCTGGTTCTGCCTCAAAGGATACACATAACAATATCTTTGAGCTCTTTACAGTACTAAAATCCCCAACAAATGGAAGATGTCAGCATTCTTCATTCCAGATTAAAGGAACCAGAGAAGTTCTTCAAAAGACCACCTAAGGCCAGATTAAAGGAATGCAGCCCCTGCACACACTCTAATCCTTATCAGCAACCCTGCCCTTGAACAGTTGCTGTAAAACTCCTCATGAAATCCTTCCAGGTTGAGACACACAGTTTTGAGGGGCAATGGTCTGCTGCATCCCCCTTTGCCTGACAAAGCAATGAAGATATTCTTTTCTACTTCACCCAAAACTCTGCCTCTGAGATTGGATTCAGCATGGGTGCACAGAGGCCGAGTTTTCAGCATCACTATTAAGATGGTATTTAAGCCTGATTTCGAAGCCACCTCACAGAGTTACTCATTTTCCCCAGAGTATCTCCCATGTATACATGAGGTGTACATGTCAACAAACTTCTGTTCATTTTTCTCTTGTTAATCTGTCTCTTATTGTAAGAAAATCTCAGGCAAGAACTGAGAAGGGTAGAGGGAAATTATTTTTCCTCCCCTATATATGTCAATTGTGTACAGTATTTAGCTAGTACCCAGACATTTATGCAAAGCTTCTGCAACAATTAGAAACTGAGAGGAATAAAATTATCCCTTATAGAAGTAAGCCCCCACAGAGTACCTTTGCTTAGTCTCTTTGAGAGGGATGAAAATAGCCTTAAGTCAGCAAAATTAATACAAAAAAAAGTAATAGGCTTAAATGTCTTAACATATCTAAAGAAAGAAGTGGAAGGGAGGAAAAATAATTTCCTTTTATCTTTCTGAGCTCTTGGCTGAGATGTCTTCCAATAAAAGACAGATTAACAAGAGAAAAACAAATAGTTTATTTACTTGTATACCTCACCTATACATGGAGATTAGCAGGGAAACTAAGTAACTCCCTAGATGGCCCAAGTCACCACCTTAAATACTATCTTCAACTAAAAACGGAAGAAAAATGTTGGGGGAAAGTCAGTGATGGGAAGTTATCAGGAAAAGAACTGTAAACAAGGGTAAGGTTTGTTATGTAGATTTAAGTCAGTGCCTTCTCCAGTGATAAAAGTTTCTTATGATTGAGAGTCATTCTTCCCTTCCTGGTAAAGAGAGGGAGACACAAATAGAGGTTTTCTTTATAAATGTAAATGCCCCTTGCAAAAGGGTAACTTCTACTCTGTTTTTAAAGCTTCTCCCATTTATGCTGTGTCTCCTGTTTATGCTGTTTCTTAAAATAATCAGCTCAAAATAATCCTTATGCCAAAGAGGCATATTCTGGCATGGCATGTTCTGCTCCCCTTCAGAAGTATGAAGGTGTGGGATGAGTCATGCAAAGCAAGTAAATAGCTATTATAGAGCAAAACTGTAGAGAGACTTTGAAAATTCTGTCCCTACAAGGAGCCTTTCCGGTATATCATTTCTAGTTCTCTGTCATGGAGATTGAGACCATGGTGTTGTAGCCAAGAGGTTTCAAATATTTCCCAAGCGGCAACAGTATTCTCATAGTGAAAAATGTATCTTAGTTGATAACTTTTCTGGTTCTAATTCCACAATAACCAAACAATCTTTCAACTGATAACAATTCTGTTATTTACATAACTTAACTACTTTGAGAGACTAGCTAGATATTACTATCCTGAGAATAACTGTATATCATATATAAATAAAATAAATTAATAAATTGGTATAATTTTTTTTTTTTACCTTAGTTTCACATGATTCTCAGAGTCATTATCTCCAGGAACTAAGGAGAATGGTGTCTTCCAAAGGAGGGGCAGATTCCAGAACAATACCTGAAAGTTCTTTTAAATTATTTGGGAATCTTGTTAAAAATGCCTAATCTAATCCAGTAGATCTGGGATAGGGCCCAAGATTTTGCATTTTTAACCAACTCCCAGGAGACATTTATACTGCTGGTCCATATTTTGAATAGAAAGTTCTTATTGTGTAATAATGTAATAAAGATTCCCAACATAATATCTTCCTAGCTTTAGCCAGCATTCCCTTGACCAGTGGAACTTAAAAAATTATGTATCAATGCCCCCAGAAACAATTGAATCAATATGTGGAGAATGGGCCATGGAGCTCTCCATGTGATTCTAACTGAAAGCAGGGTTGTAAATCGCTGTTGCATAAGACATTGTATTTTACTGTTTTAAAAAAAAAAATCCAGGATTTGGGATTAATGAAGGTAAATACTCTTTAAATGGTAGTAAAAATTTTTGAATAAAATTCTCTCTATATCATTTAAAAATCTTATTCAAAATACTGCTTTAAACTGAATTATTTCAGTTAATAAATTCTATTTTTAAAAGAAAATCAACACTGGCAGGAATTAAAATAAATTTTAATTGCTTTCCTTCCTCTTTATCATTTCATATTTATTCACTGAATGCCAGAATAGAAAATGAACAAGTTCTTGGAAAAATAATATTCCACAAGGATATTGGAATCAGATATAAGAAATCAGATATAAATTCTAGTAGACATAGAATGGTGATTTTAACTTCCAAAGCAACTTGTATCTATCAGGAAGATACCAAAAACTGGGGTTCATCATACTGACTCTTGTCAATGAGAGAACATTTTTAATTTGATATAGGTCAATAATAGTCAATAGTTGGTATAGGCTGCTATGTTTCAGTTGTGTTGTCATTTTATTTGTTTCTCAGTGATCAGACTGTTCCATTCATTACAACTGTTATGTCATGTCCATTTGCAAAGCATGTTAGCATTACTTATAAAATTTTAACAAATTTATCTAGATTTTTAAAAGTTTATTCCATGGACCTAAAATATAGATAATTTTATTTCTTTAAAAAATAATTTTTACCTGTGGTGTAAGAAACTGAATCCAATAGATAGAAAGACTATAAAAACAGGAGGTGAAATCTGTAACACCATTTTACTAAGGACTTACGTTTTCATGGGCCCCAGGTTTTGAGATACTTAAGTGACTTTTTGAGATAGTTTTCAAGAGTTCATGATTGCAGTCAAAAAGATATACTGACAGAACTGAAAAAAAAAACGTTTGTCCTACCGCCTTTGACTTGTATGATTCTTTCTGAACCACATCAGTTGTAATACACAGTGAATTAATTT